CTTCACGTGACTAGAGTTTAAAAACTTGGACTCTAGTCGAGATTATATTGTGGTATAGTTTCGTGCGAGTCACTTCACAAACACGTTCCCAGACACCCATTTTCAGGCAGTTTCCCAGTTTTGGCATAGACTTTTGATCAGGTTCAAATATGGTCTCCCAGACTTTCTGTAGAGCTCCCAAACACTTCAAAGTGTAAAGGGACACTCCAGCTTCAAAACAAGTCATTAATCTCCAATTTCCATCGAGCCAATTGTAAGATATGAATCTCCAAAGTAGGCACCATGAAACTGTTTTTACACTAAAACAACATATTAGGACGACCTAATTCTAACTGAGGTCGACCGAAAAGTGCAAGTTACGGTGACTTACAAGACACCATAGGCGCACTCTAATATTTTACTTGGAAAACACTATAATAACTTATTAATTTACTTACGTGGAAAACATTACTAATCATAACATATTAAACCAAACAATTCCTAATAATCTCAAACTATAATTAAAATCGATGATCTTATCTATGATCAGAAAAATTGAGAAGAACTTGAAGAGAGAGGTATGTAGTGAGAGATGTCATTTTCCCTTGTTGTTTTGCCTTTTGCGTGGAAAGATTGCGATTTTTTAGCTAGTGATATGATTTGGGTTGCTAAACTAATTTATGTTGATACAAGTTGATTAAAATATAAAAATTATTAAAATTAAATTAATTTAATCATAGATAAATAAAATATATTTGAAGATAATTTAATTACTCTACAATTATTTAAATAAATACAATATTTCAAACAAAATAATATTCATATTAAAATAAAACATTTCACATCAACAAACAAATTTTTATACTTGATTTCAATAAATAATATCTCTATTTAATTGTTAAATTCATGAAATAAATTACTTATTAATTTTTTTTATTAATTCATTCACTAAAATGATGTCAATTTGTTATAGGTCGAAAATCAATCATGTCAGTCATACTGGTGGTATTCACATACGTTTCATGATTCGGAATCGGTTGAACAAGATTCAACCGGCTAGTATTCCACTAGCCTGGCTATCATGGTTAGCTCTTTTTTTCTTTTTTTTATAAATAAAAAAGAAAGCATAAATATGGGTGTGCAACGATTCGGTCTGGACCTTTTTTACAAATAAAAAGAAAGCACAATTTGAGATGTGCGTCGGTCAGGTCTGGACCAGACAAAACTCATGTTGATCATGGTACAATAGTGAAAGTTTGAAATACATCTTAGGACCAAGAACAAGATCAACATTGCATTCGTTCTGGTTTGGTCCCGTCCAAATGTCATTTCAGCCCATTTTTCATCAATACTTATAAAATTCACGAGACCAAGGACCGGACCACATTATATTCAGTTCGATATGATCCGGTCCTAGCATCGATTTGGTCCAGTGCATTCTGGTACAAATCAACCATTACACATCCTTAAGCATAATAATAATCCGGCGTGGGATAGATGTTAACACCCAATTTGTTAGGCGCAACTTTCTATGAATAAAAACATAAAGAGGTTGTTTGGAAGTTGTGATTGTTCCTGAGATTGTTATTATATTTGTATACTTTAGAATGTATCATTTTTTATGATTTTTTTGCATGCATAATTCATGAATTATTATGTAATGTGACATAATCTATCACCCATTTTAAGTTATTGTTATATCTCAGGTTTTAACTGAAACTGTTGAGATAGTTGAGTTTATATTGTTTTACCTAAACTTTTCGCTTATAGACAAACACAATCACACATACCAAATGTTGTATTTTACAATGCATCAAATTTTTCAGTACATGTATAATATTATACGAGTATTCACAACAATACATCTATTTAACAATCACAACTTTCAAACGATAACACTACCTTCCTCCCACCAATAGAAACATCTCATTTACTTCAACAAAAAAAACCATCTCATTTTAAAGTTTTTTTCTTTCTAGAAGATGACCACAATTAATGCCGATTTTTAAATGAGGGACATGTTTGGCATTTTTAAAATTATAGCTGGAGCACGCGTGTGACCCTGCATATTTATTGCTCTTCCCATTCCCACCACAAGTATCATGAAGCATGCCACAAAACACAAATGAGAAATACAACAAGTCACTCCACAAATAACATAAAGTATACCATAAACCTTATAAAGCAGAATATCACCACACCACAAAATTCATAAAGGATACCAAAAGACTCAAACTGACCACTAGTTTTTTAAAGCATACAAGAAATCTCATGAAACAAACCAAAAGTTTTCTTAAACATACAAAAAAACCTCATAAAACTTACCACAAGTTTCTTAAATATACATGAAACATCATTAGCTGACCACAAGTTTCTTAAAACATGCATGGAATCTCATAGAGTATACCATAAGTTCCCTAAAGCATACTAGAAACTTATTAAAGTAGTCCACAAGTTCCCTGAAGCATATCAAAAACATTATATAATATACCACAAGCCCCCTAAAGCAAGTTAGAAACTTCACAAAGCAGACAAGGAAGATGAGAAATCATACCAGAAACCTCATAAAGAACCCAGAAATGCAATAAAGGATGACAGGTAATAAAAAAACTATAATAGTGAAATAATTTTTTTATAACGGTAAAATTTTTTACAAGTAATTTGCTAAAAGTTGAGGACGGGAAGTCATTACTATGTACAGTAGTTAACATAATATCCATCATCATCATTATGTTAGCTACTTAGCTTTGTACTAGTACTAAACAATGTTGGTAACTATGTGGTATTGGTCTCCCTAAAAAATTGAATTTATCGTCCTAAAACACACGAAATTACACAATTATCCTTAATTTCCAATTGACCAATTACCCTCCTCCATTCTCAATCCAACCTCTGACAACAACACCTCCGTCCCAACCACCATGTCCGCCTATCGTCGGCGACCTCTGCGGAGGAAGAAAATGGAATTGCTCAGCGATGACAGGCGACAATTCCATCCGTTAGATTTGTTGGCAGCGCAACTAATTACTGAAACTGGCATTACCCGCCATTCTCGCTTCCCTTCTGACTTATCAATTTCTTCTCCTCATCTCTCATCCTCACAATTCGATCCAGATCACGCTCTACACACTTCACACTCTCCCTTCACTTTAGCTGCTTTTAGTAGATCCTAGGAACCAACAGAAGACGAATGGAAGGCTTCATCAAGGGCTAACTTCGCCATTGGCCACGGCGACGGTGGTGAACACGACGAATAGCGCCCCAGATCCTCCTGGGCCGAAGTCTCTCTCTCTCTCTCTCTCTATACCCTCCTTTAGAGAGGCGTCAGGCGTGGATGGCAACAGATCCATTAATATATTTTTGTCGGAACGTAAGAAAGGGCGGTGGACGGCGGCCGCCCGGGTCGGGTTGGGGGTGGGGATTCTAGTTTTGTTAGTATTAAAATCAGGAATAAAATTGTCAGTTTGGTATAGTTTAGAGCAAAAATATTTAAGTTTTAGGGCGACGAATAGCGATTCAGTTAATTAATTCACACCATCCTATAATTTAGTCAAATTCATAATAACAAATGGTCACTGAACTTCAAAATAAACCAAAGTGTTCACTTATATTTCTCAAATCTAACAAAATAGTCCTTGCGTGTTCTAATTTTATTAGGCGCACTTGGTGGGGAAAAAATAGATGAGTTAGAAAGAACGATCATTTTGTTACAAGTTGAGAAACATAATTTATAGTTTTAATACATTTTAAAGTTAGGACTTTGCTACGGTGATTTGGATAAAACGATCGACCTAGTCAGTGATTAGGTCGATTTATTTGGACAAAATGGTCGACCTGTTCACTGATAAGGTCGACCTATTTGGAAAAAATGGTTGACATATTCAGTGATGAGGTCGACCTATTTGAAAAATGGTCGACCTCATTGTTGGAATGGTCGATCAGATGTACTATTTTTTCATTTTGCTATGTTCAACAAACGTTCAACCTCTTCCACTAAAAGACACTATACAAAAAAATTGGTATACCTCTTTCCCCAATCGGTCCACCTCTTTCAATAATTTATCCATCTGATGAACCATTTCCAGTGATATCATCATATATAATTAGAGCCCAATAACAATAGATATGCTTGCTAGTAAGAGATATAAAATTAGTTCAAAGGCTGCAAGCATAGATGACATGTTTCTTGAGTGATTGTTCTCCCGTAAATTCGAAAAATGTTCCGTATATTTATTTCTTATATTTGACTTACTTTATAGAGTTTTTCATGTTTTCTTCAAATTCTAAGTTTTCTTGTTTCTATACTATAGTTGTCTTGTGATGGATCAACTTCATTGGTATTGATGCTATGAAGATGCTCAAAAAGCAGAGTATATTTGTTATACAATTGTGTCATTGAAACGTCCATAAATCTCATTTCATCGCTTTTATGGATTTATATTTCAGAAGAATTAAAAGAGGATGTTTCTTTTTGTCTTATCATATAATCTGCGTAGGGATTTGGCTGCCCACAATTGATAGGATGTTGTGTTACTAAAAAACAATTTTATATTGTTGGTCTTCTTTTGTCCATTATTTTTCTAATGTAAGTGTAAGGTAACTGTGTTATTTGGTCGACTGTTCGCCAAAAACGGAGATCATTTGCCGAAAGAGTTATGTAAATCATTTTGTCAAATTGGTAGGCTGTTTTGGCGGAAGCAGTCTACCTCCACCTAGGGGTGGGCAACGGGAAACGGGTATTTGGGTATACCCGTACCCGTCCCATTTTTTAAGGGTTACGGGTACCCATATTACCCGTAATATTTTAAACGGATGGGACTTGGGATTGTACAGTCCTAATATGGGTACCCGCGGGTTACCCGCGAATACCCGTTTGGGTAATATGGGTACCCGTTGTACCCATTCAAATTACAAAGACATATAATTCAGCCCATGCGCCCAGGCCCAACCCAATTCAAAATCCATTAAAATTACAAAATCCATTTAATTCAGCTCGTGAGAGTTGAGACTCTGACGCACCCCTAGGCCCTAGAAGACACGAGACACGCGACGGCAGGCGGCAGCTTCTCTAGAATTTGGAAAGGTCTGTCTCTGCATTGTGTCTTGTCCCTGGCTGGAGGAGTCGTCTTCGCGGAACGAGAGAGAAGAGACGAAAGGTCGAAAGCTAGCTCGCCTCGGGCCTCGGTGCCACCTTCATTCACCGCCGCCGCCGCCTCTGAGCTCTTCCTTCTTCTCACCCAGCGGAGCAGCAGCAGTAGCAGGTTTCTTCTTCTGGGTTTTATTATTTGGTCCTTTACCCTTCCTTGATTCCTTTTCATCTTCATCATCATCCCTTCTTTGGGTTGTAGGAATTGGTGTAAGTTGCTACTTGTGCAGCCATTTTGTGTTTTGAAATGAATGCTTTGGATGTAATTGACTAATTGTCTTTAGGTAAAATCTCATTTAAACTTCGGGTATTTATGGGTAGTATGGGTACCCGTTATCCGTCCCGTACGGGTAATGGGTACCCGTTTCCCATATGGGTTTGGGATATGGGATTGACTTTGGTCTCCAAATGGGACTGGGTACCCGTTTAAAACGGGACGGGTATCTCGTCCCGTCCCGTTGCCCACCCCTACCTCCACCAACAAACAGTTGTAAGTTGAAGGTAAGTGTATCACAGGCCGACTCATTGCCAGAGGAGGTAGACCAGCTGGCCTCGAGTGGTATACCACTTGGTGGAAGAGATTGACTTTTTTTTTACAAAAGATAATCATTCTATTGATTGAACAAAAGATTAGTACATCCAGGCATGCAACCATGCCGTAAAATCATAAAAGCGACACGCAGTTGGGTACAATGTCAGGGCCTTCCGAGCCACCAAATGGACAACCCTATTGCTACTCCGTCCAACAAATTGCACTTTAAGCCCTTGATTTGCTCCCAATAAATTTCTAACCTCCTGAAAAAATGCATCGGCTCGACTGTGTCTGACCATACCGCTATTCAGCTTGTCAATCACAACCTTAGCATCCCTTTCAAATCACACCACCGAGAACCCTCTTTCCAGACACCACCTGATTGCCTCTCAAAGGACCAACATTTCCACCATCATAGGATCATCAAGCACCGCAAACTGCACTCCCCGAGCCAGACAGACTACCCCCTCTTGATCCCAAAAAAACCATCACACCTGCTGAATGAGACCCAACCCTCATTGCCCCATCCCACATACATCTGACTAATCTAACGGGGAGATTTCGCGAACTGGACTCATGCAGAACAGCGGTCCTCACAGAAGGATCCCGTGGCACTACATACCATTCCTGACATTGTTGGTTATACTAGCGTACCAAAGCGGGGATACCAAACTGCTTGTCCTCAAAGAAAACCCAATTTCGAGACCGCCATATGCGCCATAATAGCACTACAACAGCCATAACTTGTTGCGGCTGATGTAAAAGCGCCAATATTCGTTTGAGAAATAGTGGAAAAGTATGTTGCGGCAAACTCTCACCAAGGTGATCCAGCCCTGCACAAACCCACATAGTTCGAGCTACTAGGTAGTGAAGGAATGCATGTTCCATAGTCTCATTCGCATTCCAGCAAACTGGACACCGAGGCATCACCGGGACCTTTTTCTCAATGAGAGCCTCAGTCATTGGTAGGATTCGGTTAAAAATTTGCCAGAGAAAGACCTTTAGCTTGGTAGGAATCAACAAATCCTATAACTGAATCCAACTAGCTCGATCCATCCAACTGGCAGACGAGCATCATTTACTCGTTTGTTTAGTCACTTCCACCGCAAGGTGAAAGGCTTATTTGACAGTAAAAATCTCATCATGGGTAGCATGCCAGAGGAGTCTATCCTCTGAATCTTGTCGCGGAAGTGGGATCACTTTGATTGCTGCACAGGTATCTGGGTGAAACCACTAAGCAAGCTTAGTATCAGACCAGCATCCTGTGCCAGGGCACATAACCTCAGCAACCTTCAACTCCGCCAGATCCGGCAGCACCTGGGGGTTTTGGACAGGCAATTGAGGATGAAGTTGGGGGATCCAACAGGAGGACAATAGTGTTGTCGTTCGACCATTACTAGTCTGCCACCGGAGGCCCGCTTCCAACAACTGACGACAATAAAGGTTGTCATCCCCACGAGGTCTGGGACCGCGGTTTTGCCAAAAGGAAGGTTGTCATCCCAACGAGGACAGTGCTTGCATTCCATTCCAGGGATTACCATCCTCTTTCTCACTTGCATTCAAAGTAGCATTGAAATCACCAATCACCACAAAGGGTAATTGAATTTCTTTGCATAACTTCCGAAGAGTGGCTAATTGAGTCGCACGCATCGGCTCATTGCAGTTAATATAAACACAAACAACCACATACGAGAAAGTCTGGAGACAAATACAAAAGTTCGAATGGAAAAACAACGAAGCATCGACTTCGGGGGGACCAAGCTACAACTAACCCGCCAGATGCATTGACCGCATCGACAAAGAAAGACTAAGAAGGTTCAAAACCCAAACCCCTGACCCGACAGGAAACGACTCTCTGGCTCGATCTTGTTTCCTAAAGGAAGATAATGTCCAGTTTATTCAAAATAACTAAACCTAACGCAGTTTGGAATGTGAGGGATGGTCCAATTACTCTCACATTCCACGCCATTAGCCTCATTTATTCGATTGGGACCACTTAAGGCTGGCTTCCTCCATCTTATCATTGTTCTCCTCTGCCTCCACAAACTGCTTCTTTGGAGTGGGAATATCACTCTTTTTCACCCTCCATTTCTTCCAGTGCTCGTTTTCGTCCCCAATAGCCAGATCCATCATATTTCTTCCATATTCATCGAACCCGGGCCTCATTTGCTCGTCCTCTCCTTGGAGGAGACCAGGGTGATCAATATCCTTCCCCACTCCTCCCTTCTTATCAATAACCAAACCAGATTCGAAAGTTGCCACCACTTGGTGGAAGAGATTGACCACTTAAGGTAATTGTGTCATTAGGTCAACCCATTTCCGAAGCGGTAGACCGGTTGAATCAAGTGGTAAACCACTTGGTGGAAGAGTTCGACCGCTGAAGGTTAGTATGTCATCAAGTCGACCCATTTCCGGATGTGGTAGACCAAATGACTCAAGTGGTAGACCACTTGGTGAAAGAGGTCGACCATTTTCTTGGAAAGTGGTCGACCAATTGGTGGAAGAGGCGAGCCCTTGAAGGTAAATGTGTCATCAAGTCGAACCATTTCCGGAAGTGGTAGACCGAATGACTCAAGTGGTAGACAACTTGGTGGAATAGGTCGACCGTTTTCTCGAAGTTATAGTGACTTGCAAGTCACCAAAGGCATACCCTTAAAGTTAATGACAATATTGTTACATAAACCATCAACAACCTACTATTTATTTTAACTACTACAAAAAATAAAACGTAAAGTAAAATTTAATAACTCACAAAAGGAAAAGTAGTTGGCTTACTTTGATGAAGGTGTTTACGGGTCTAATCTTTTGCTACGTAACGCTACTGATTTAACTGTTACGTAAGAAACAACTCTCGTTCCGTAATCTTTACGTAATGGAAGGTCTTTTTACGTAATAAGTATTAACCTCACGTTACGTAAAGTTCTCAGTCATTACGGAAGCCTTACGTAACGCTTCCGATTAACTGTTACGTAAGAAATAACTATCGTTCCGTAACCTTTACGTAATGAATGTGTATTTTACTTAACAGTTGGAAAATGTCATTACGGAAGCCTTACGTAATAGACGGTCTCGGAAGCCTTACGTAATAGAAGGTCTCTTTACGTAATGAGTATTAACGTCGTGTTACGTAAAGAGCTAAGTCATTACGGAAGGTTTACGTAATGCTTCCAATTTCATTGTTACGTAAGAAATAACTATCGTTTCGTAACCTTTACGTAATGGATTTGTATTTTACGTAACAGCTGTAAAAGGTCATTACGAAAGCCTTACGTAATGGAAGGTCCTTTTACGTAACGAGTATTAACGTCGTGTTACGTAAAGAGCTAAGTCATTACGGAAGGTTTACGTAATGCTTCCAATTTCATTGTTACGTAAGAAATAACTATCGTTTCGTAACCTTTACGTAATGGATTTGTATTTTACGTAACAGCTGTAAAAGGTCATTACGAAAGCCTTACGTAATGGAAGGTCCTTTTACGTAACGAGTATTAATCTCATGTTACGTAAAATGCTAAGTTATCACGGAGGCCTTACGTAATGATTCTAATTCAATAAGAATTAAAAAAAGGAAAGAATTAAATAAGAGCATCTTCATTGGAATTGCATTTAGAATTCAATTATGACATGGCATTCATTTGCAATAGCATTATGCAATTGTTTTGATGTAGATGACAATTGCATCTTTGCAAGCTTGCATATAATGCAATTATGGAATGCAAGTCACATCATTTTTTTCATTATTAAATTATTCATTAATTTTATTATTTGAGTGTTTATGTTTTAATAAATTAAATTAAAAAAATTAGTTGCAATTGCAAGTTAATTGCATTGATGTGGTCCAATGCAAGTAAGATGAGTTGGATTGCAAAAAAATGAAGTAACAATAAAAAAACAAATGCAATTGCACCAATGGAGATGCTTGAAGGAAAAACAATTAAATGCGAAAAAGGAAAGAAAAAATTAAGAAAGGTAAGTGGCGTTGGTGGTTACCGGCAATCCCCTGTTGTCATTAATTTTTTTTTTTTATCAATGGTTTGAAATAAGTTTAATCGATTTTAACGGTTTAGATCTATATAATTCTGGTCTCTCGGTACCAACTGCATACCATATGGTATCTTCTTCGTTTTTAATTCGTTTTTGAAAAAGTTTGCACATAAGGGACGAGTTCATCATGATCTATTGGATGTACAAATTTCTGGGTGAACAAATTACAGGACCAAAAAATACCACACAATACCATACAATACCACCCTGGTACGGGGTGGTATTGTATGGTATCTTCTTCGTTTTTAATTCGTTTTTGAAAACGTTTGCACAGAAGGGACGAGTTCATCATGATCTATTGGATCTAAAAATTTCTGGGTGAACAAATTACAGGACCAAAAAATACCACACAATACCATACAATACCACCCTGGTACGGGGTGGTATTGTGTGGTATACAATGTAAAAAGTCGTAAATGACAATTAATATACTTCTACTATCATGTATTCAACCATTCTATAGTCTTGGTTTGTTCATACCACCATGGTACGTTTTTCAAACCATATGTATGCTTTTATTTCAATACCAGTCAATACTATATGGTATAGACTGGTAAAAAATAGCTCAATTTTTTTTTATTCGAAAAATATATTAAAGTGGATATCATTTTGAAGAGCACAATTAATATGATCTAACTGTGCAAAAAAATTAAATTTCGACTTAAAATGAGTGAGAAATCGTCCGTCAAAGATTAAAGAAGAGAAAATTAAAGGTTTTCCCAGAGGGAGAAAATGCTGATGTCATGCTGATGTAGGTTGGTTACTCATGATTACTCACCATCATAAAGTTATTAACCTAATCCGTTCCCCAATGTAGGAGGTCCCATTTATTTATTAAAAAGTTGTCGCTAGCATGGTGCCCAAACTTCACTCGGCGGTAATAATAGCTCATTCGGCCACGGAAGATGTTCTAATTAGCGCTATCAATTAAGGGGCAGAAGATTTTCATCAGAAAAGCAAAAGGGAGGAAGATATCATAGTGGTTTCAGCTAATGAATGTAGATTGAATTGGGTAAAGTAGCAAGTTTGGTACTGATGATCAAGCTAATTAGGGTCCACATCGGTGATGGTAGTCTTAATTTCACGCTAATGTATCCGGTTTCGATGAAGCAACCACACAAAAATGAACAAAAACACTCGTTTGTTAGTAATTATACTAGACTTCTGCTGCAAGTAGATTAAAGTTCAATGGGAGTCCCAGAAACTTATAAGCAGACACGGCTACATATTTTCCCTTTCTCTGTTCCTCATTTACCATTCCCCTATATTGTTGATGGCCACAGCATGACTGCATCCTCACCAGTCGAAACCGTCTTCAATGGCATAAGCTTTCAAATACAAATGCATTTAACATTGCACCCCCAAAACAAAATGTTTCCATCTATTTACAGTATATATAAATACAAAGTGAACCCATGTTTTGACATGGTGTATAGGGTAAGAGGAGGAAAAATGATGAAGCAGATGAACTCTCAAGGCTTTCTCAGTTATATACCGCGCATTCACAAGCAGAAGGATAGCACACCACTCATAGAACCATAATCAGAAATGAGACTTACCTATTGAAAAAAAAACCGACAAAGAATGAAAGCAATTTCACTCTGAAAGAGACCAGAACAAGAACACACTAAGATGCCAGCACCAGCTGCTCCTTTTTAGCCTCTCCCATTCCACCTTTCCTGCTTCCATGGAGTGTTGTGGCTTGTTTCCCGGTAATCGGATAAGTTAACCTCCTGGCTTTTAGAGCTCCATTGGGCATTGGTGGTTTAGAAGCTATGGTTGGCGTTTTTGCTGCAGGTGAAGTTGCATTCTTACTACCCTTGTTAGCCTGCTTGTTGATCTGAGCTTTCTTTGGGCTGATGGACTTCAAGGGGACACGGCTCTCCCATGGACGAGCAGCGATCCAGCGGTCAATCCAGCTCCATCCCCAGTTGGACTTCCCAACCTCATAGCTACCAAGGCTCTGGTTACAATTTGCCCTCCACTGCAAATTTCATTGGTCGGTTTTAGACCGTTGTAATGCAACTTTTTTTGCAAACTTAGAAGGATTGGGATCATTGAAATAAGGATATGCATTCATAAGAGTATGTGCTATACCTGGTGAGAGAAGGCATATGCCATTGCCCTTTCCCGCTTCACTGCTGCTTCTTCCCTTTGATGTACTCTTGCAAGAATCTCCTCCATTGTATCACCCCCACTGTTCCATTCCACCTGCCATCCATATCAAACATTAACTGTTAAAAACAAGACTTGTAAAGTGGAGTTCTATGATCCATTAAAGGGTGGGAAAACAATTGCATGCTATCTTACCACTAGGTCATGAAGTTTTGCCTCAAGTTTAAGTTGATTCTCCAACTTCTTCTGCCTTGAACGACCTTCGGTGACCATAAACAAGCGGCGATTTCTAATCTGGGTCTGCAGGCTGCTCCATAGATGAAGGTGGTTCAATGTGGAATTAGCTTGCTTCAGAATGGATTGATGCTTGGTTCGCGACTGTAATTTCACAGTCCCTCTTAGGCGGCGTAAGGCTTTCCTCGCCTGAATCGACAAGGAACAAAACACGAAACAACAATTATTAACTAATGCACACAAGCATCTGCAAGTGTTTAATTTAAGGCACCATTTAAAGATCACAAGTTAACATACTCTATATGCACGGAATGCAGTTTGAATGCGAGTGGCAGCCAATTCTTCATTGCCATGACCATTGGGAGAAGCAGCTGAATCTTTGCTCTGCAGATACTTCGATTTGAAGCCATTCGATTTCACAGACGGTGATGAAGAACCCTAAACAGAATCAATAATCGTGTCATTGATTCGTTCTATCTTCCCCGAAAGCACGGTGGAATGAAGAGAAGCGTGGAGGGAAATGAGATTTACCTTCAATTGCTTCAAATGGCCATTCTTCCCCTTCTTCAAGTTAATCATTGTCTTAATCCAATTCCCAGAACCCATTTCTGCTGTAAGTTTGATGTGCCACCCAGCTCAACATAAACCTGAAAAAAAGATTGCACTTATCAGAATACCAGCATTATGAATCTCAGACATTCATCAATTCTTTCTCTTCTCTCCTTCTTCAATGGCAAATCTAATAGGAGAAGCCATTTCAACAAAATCCATCCATGGCTGGTCAGGTTGCTAAATCCAATAGCTTTTAGAAATTCCTTCCAACCAAAAAACCATGAATCTCCCCATTAAACCCAGTGCAAGGATCTCAGCAACTACCTAGCATTGTCCACGAAGGGGGGAACGACATTGCATGCTGGAGAACAAGAAGAGTAAACATAGGTAAGAGAGAGAAAGCCCGCATTACCAGTGAAGCCGAGGTAGCGGAAGTGGCACACTCTTCTCCTTCTCTAGCTTTGAGGGAAAATGAAGGAATACAAAAAGTAGAGATATGGGGGAGGGATGAAGAACAAGACTTCAGCACTAGAGTAGTTGCAGTAGAGGGGAAGGAAAGTCTTGGACTTGACAGAAAAAATAGACATTTTAATATCTCCAAAGCGAAATGAAATCATTGATTAAATAAATAAACGGTTGTTGGGACTGGTTGAGAATTGAGAAATGACAAATTGGCATAAACCAAGCTCCCCTCCACCAATCCTTATTTATTTATTATTATTGGTTTATTTCTTTCAAATCTTCGCATTATTATCTTTTGCTAATTTTTCCTTTGGAAAACGCCAACATTCCTTTCATACCATACCATAGTCGATTTCACGTTAAAATGGGGAAATGTTGTTAAACAAAATAAAGACAGATGGGTTTTCTTTTTCTAATTCATTTTGTTTGCCTTCACGGATTCGGAAATTCAACAATATATTATTATATATTTGTGAGCTTAAACAGTGACAGCATAACCACTGACAATAATGGGTGATTAGTAGCTTCCTACCTCTCATCCCCTACCTCATTTATAATTTGCTTCATTACTATTGTTATTTGGGGGGTTTTTTTTTTTTTTTTTGAAATTGGGGTAAAGGTCTAACTAATTTTTCAGTCAAAGTGTTATTGATTGATTAGAACAAGGTTATGTTTTACCTTTCTCTAGAATATACAAGAAGGCTAAGCAGTGGTGGAGTCAAGTAATATGAATGAGCTGGGTGACTTGACCATGGCGAGGAGAAGGGGCTAAGGTATTAGGGATTATCCTACTTTCTAAATTTATTACGAATTATACATATAATTTTATTTATACTTCAAATTTAATAGAAGCTAAAACTCCTTACTTCAACCTAACTCTTTCACTAAGTCTAAATAGCTAACTCATTCTCATTAAAAGCTGTAAAGGAGTTGTGTACGGGATGAGATACGGTGACAACCCCATTAAGGGGTTGTGACTTGTGAGATTGACAACACATCTTATAACCATAGGATCCATTCTCTCTCTTGTCTCTTTTTTTTTTTTTCAAATCAATGGTACAGATTAGATTAAGGGTATTTTTGGACGAAAAAATTAATCACACTGGATTATTACCCATATTAATACCTAAAACCCTACATTCTCTCTTTCCTCTCTCTCTCTCGCGCGCCATCTTTCTTCTTCCTATTCTTCTTCTTCTTCCTCCCATCTCTTCCCTCTCTCTCTATCGGCTGCCACCACCATCGTCGCAGCCGTCCTGCCGACCCGCCACGCCCTCCGCCTCTCATCACTGCTGCAGCCCTCTCGTCGTCGCACCCTCCGCCTCCCAGCACGGTCACGTCCCTCGCTACCAATGGTACTAGTACTGCTAATGGTACCGGTACAAGTGGTAATGGTACCGTACCACTAGCACTGGTACTTTTTTAACACAATAGTAGTGTACCAGTAGCACTGGTATATTAATTACCAGTAGACTAATGGATTGGTACACTTTTTAACGCACTGGTACATTTTTTCAGGTTGCCGGAGGGAGTCTGTCAGAGAGAATTCGCTGGAGAAAAAGTCTGTCCATCGAAGCGGAGTGGCCGTAGGAGAAAGGAAGAGAGAGAGATAGATAGAGATATTAATGTATAGGATTTAAATTAAAAAAAATTGTATTTAATATGGATTTTTAATTCCCAATCTGATTAATACAAAAAAGCTAATTAATATATTCCTTTTTTTCATATCCAAAATACCCTTGGTTGTCAATCTCACAACCCCCTTAGGAGTTGTCACCGTATCCCGTCCCGTTGTGTTCTGTAAAAATTCAAACAAAAAACTTTCAAATTGAAGTTTATTTTTAACTTATTTATTTGATAGATTTGAGTAATTGTTTTCTGATGAATTCGGTTATGCTACTAATGTAAGTGTCCTTGATTACGTAAGCATATATATGCACATAAATGATTGGATGCATTAAATTTCTTATTTACAAAATTGCACTCAGCATTTCTGGTTCGGGATTTGTTTGCCACCCATGCATGTCGACAAATAAAGGATGACTAATGGTAAGAAACCATATTTGGATTATAAATTTATTGTAACTAATAATTATAAAGATAATTGGTATGCAGTGAGGAAATCAGCTCCAAATGCTTTTGGTGGTTGTGGATTTTGGATGATTAGATGGAAACGATGATGAAGACAGAAGGAAATTATGCAGGTGGTTGGTCATAGTTTGCTGAAATAAATAACGTATAAATGGAGGATGATATTATAATCGCCCAGTAATATCATGATCATAAAACCATACCGTACCGGCGGTTCAACCACTAAATACTAATATTAGAGGTTAAATCGATAGGCGATATTTAACGGTCTAACGGTTGAACTATGATTAAACCATGATTCTATCATCAAATATCGCACCATTTTACTTTTTCGGTACGGTTTCATAGACATATTATTATTAGATATGATCGAAATATAGTATGGGTGTGTTGGACAGAGTTGGGGGAATTAATTTAATGGAGTAAAGATTAGCGCGTAGCGAGTCATGAGAAGGTGCGGTGCGGACCGTCGTTTAATTAGGTGGATAATCATTGTAGTTATTTAGCGAGTTAAGTATAATTTATTCGTGGGCCGTGGAATTTCTTCTGTTCGTGATATAATAAAGCCCACCGACCCTGGGCCCGCGGAAGTAAGGTAAACCGGATAAGTTCGGAAAATGTGCAAAAATAAGTAATTCATGGTCCCGGCGGGGCTCGAACCCGCGACCTTCGGCTCATAAGACCAACGCTCTAACCAACTGAGCTACGGGACCATTCGAAAATATAGTGAATTTATACTTAATTATATCATATGTTGACCAATGAAATTTAATAGTTTTTAACCTTGATCTCTGTGGACATGAAGTGGTGGGTGGGGCCATGAAAATTGATGTTGGTAAATTGACTTTTATAGGGGAATAATGAGAGACAGCAATTACATATGGTGTCGAGAGGGAGTCATAAATCCTTCCTTGGAGACGAAATTATTGACAAAAAAAAAGTTGCCATTGACCTGAACAAAGGATGGGGGGTTTTGATTAGCTTTAAACCGTGAACCAATGCCCACGGCAGTCATGTATTCCTCTGCAGATACATTGGTTGGAAGTTTGTTATGCCTGAAACGCTATACATCAAAGGGGGAAGCGGGGCTTGAGACTAAGAAAAAGGAAGAATATAATTGCGTATGAGACTAGTGGTTTGACAAAGTAGATAAGAGTACCTAAGAACAAGAGACGAGATTTTGGGTTCCGTACAGGGTTTGCTTAATACGGTTGAAGCCTCGCAGGAAAGTCTACGAGGTAAGGATTGGAGAGATATGGACTGAGAGGAAGTGGATTGATATGATGATTTGGGTCATAATCTCAAATGAAAATAGAAAAATAGGTGGAGGAATGAGCCTGCCTGAGCCTGGCGTCTTGTCTTGTGGGTTGGGCTGGGCTTCTTTCCAGAGGAGTAAAGTCGAGAGTTTTTCTTTTTCAAGAGTTTGAAACTTTTTTTAGGGCTAAATTACACGTTTGATCACTTAAATTATACAAATCTTTCATGTTTGTCGTTTGAATTATTTTTCTTTCTTATTCGTCACTAACTTTACGAATCGTTTCACCATTAGTCACCGGCCGTTACACTCCGTTAAATTTGTCCTACGTGGCAGTCAACTATAAAGTTTGACCGTTAACTAAATGATGTGGAAATTAAAAAAAATAAAAATTTATTTATTTTTCCATCTCGTCATTTCACTTACTCTGTAAATATAGTTTATCATATTAATTATTTAATAAAAATTTATTAATTAAAAAAATTAATTGTCCAATTTTTCCCTTGGGGAAGAGGGAGAGTCGGAGGCGAGTCTATTCTCTAGAGATCAGTTTATCTCCAACGAAAGACTCTACATTGCTTTGCTGCTTACAACCCCAGTTTTGTTCACGGCTCCTTCCGCTTCCCCATGGGAAGTAAAGCTCGATGAGGCTCTCTAGGAATATAGGACAGCCTACAAAAATCCGATTGGTACTTCACCCCTATAGGCTTGTCTATGGGAAGGCATGTCATTTGCCAGTAGAGTTAGAGCACAAGGCCTTCTGGGCCCTTAAGCTGATAAATCTGGATTTGAGTGTTGCAGGTACTGAACATAAGCTGCAGCTGCTGGAGTTGGAGGAATGATGTTAACATGCCTACGAGAACACCCTGCTCTACAAGGAGCGAACCAAGCGTCTCCTCGATGCTCGGTTGAAGGGCCCGAAGGAGTTTCAGGTAGGTGATCGTGTCCTGCTCTTTAATGCAAGCTTGAAACTCTTTCCGGGCAAGCTGCGTTCACGGTGGTCGGGACCCTTCACGATCAATCAAGTATTCCCGCACGGTGCGGTGGAGATCAGCAATGCTCAAACAGAGCAGTTCAAAGTGAACGAACACCTCTTAAAGTTGTACTTGGGAGGTGATATCGAGCGTGCAGAGCTGCTGATTAAAATCGAGGACCCTTAGTTCCTCTACTGGCGTCTAGCTAAAAGACGGTAAAGAAATGCTTGTGAGGAGGCAACCCCACCATGGTTTGCATTTCTTTCTTTTTTTCAGTTTCGATTTTGTCGGTTTTGAGTCTTTGAGTAAATGGAGTCGGTCTGGAGTCTGTCTTGAAGGTATTTCGTGCTTAGGATAGTCTGTTTTCATGTATGGCTATGCAATTTTCGAGCCGGGGCACGAATGGGGTTTGGTTGATTGAAAAACTGACTTTGAAATTTGCAGAGGCAGCCTCAGCAGTGAAAACACGGGCACCAGGGATTGAAAACACGACCGTGTTTTCCCCCTGCTCCCCCGTGTTTTAGGATCTCCACCTGTGCATCCTTGGCGATTAAAACACGGGCGCCAGGGGTTGAAAACACGGCCGTGTTTTACCCCTTGCCGGCTCGTGTTTTATTGCCTGGGGGAGACGCTCTCAGAGGTAAAAACACGGGCGCGGAACACACAAAACACGGTTGTGTTTTCGCCCACCCTTGTTTTACTTCCCCCCTTTAAATTTCGAAATCTGCTCCCCTCTCTCCTCAAATCTCAATTTTTTTCAAAAACCTCTCTTCCTCCCCTCGCTGGAAAGTCGCCCTTCTCCTCTTCTCTAGTGGTTTTTGACTCGACTCTACTGTCACTCCAGGAATTGGC